TCTTCATTTAATATTTCAACACCAGTGACACCGGCAGAGAAGAGTGTGTCTGCACTCAGGTTACATGCAGGAATCAGCCCCAGAAAGAGGAGGGGCTGAAGCATGTAGCTGGGGCCTCTCCTTCCTTGGGAATTTGACCTGGTCTACCTGCTCCCAAGGGCAGAGGTGGACTAGGAAGTACAGGCTGTCAGATGCAAAAGCAGAGCCATGACCTCCAACCCGAGCCGCCAAGGGGCTGAGAATGCAAGAACTAAGTCACTCCACTGCTGTACCCTCCACGCTTCCCTACCATCTATATATCTACCTATCTATGTATCTATCCATGAATCAATCTATCTATCTATCTATCTATCTATCTCTAATCTATCTATCCTCTATCTCTACCTAAATACTATTATCTATCTATCTATATCTAATCTATCCTCTATCTCTATCTAAATATCTATCATCTATCTATCTCTGTCATCTCTACCCATCATCTATCTCTAGCATCTATCTCTAGCATCTACCTATTTGTATCTGTCTCTATCATCTATTTATCCCTATCATCTCTCTCCATCACCCCTCTATCATCTATCTACTTTGTATAGATTGCTCCTACTTCTGCTCTGCCCATCACGGAGCCCCGAACCCAGCAGGGAGGCCTCTGCGCTGCCTGCCTAGCAGGATTTCCTGGTGGTTGTTTTTAGCAGCGACTGCTGTGTGCAGCGACTTCTCTCTCTGGTGGACGCAGCAGGGTTCCGGCGGTCGCATTCGTTTGCCAGTGAGTTCCCTGGACTTTGATCCTGCTGTTTTCTCTGGAAGTGTCTTCTCCTCACTGAGGACTGTGGGTCCTGGGTGGTGTATGGAGAGGCCATTTCTACAGCCAGCTGCTCCTAGGACCTGGGGACGAATGGAGCTGGGCGTGCTGGTGCCCTCTAGTGGTAGAATGGAGGACTAGCATGGAGTCGGTCCTCCTCTCCCCCTCTACTCTTGTTCTCCAGCCTTTAAACATGAATAACAGGAAAACCTTGCCCTGTCCCCCACCTCTGCCACCTCTTCTCACTGGAAGGCGTTGAATTGGCTGTACAATGTTACATCACACAATTTCTCTCATCTCTGTCTTGAAATTAATGAAGACAGTAGGTTCATTTGTCCTACAGATCTGCCACTGCTACCTTGAACATGCTTTTATTAAAAATTACCCTCACCTCTGAATTCCTCTACCAGTGTGCTCACACTTCTGGTTGCTAATCACTGCTTTCACTTACCTCGAAGAAGAGCTCAGGAACACAGAAGCACAGATCAGCTCTACAATGTACTGGAAGGATTGGCTTTCTACAGTGCCATGCACGCACTGTAAGGGTCAAATGAACACATACACCAGTGACTACTTCCGCACAGCAAGAGGGTGAAAGATAACCTGCAGAATGAAACCTGGTTATCTGATCAAGCTACCATCCAAATATACAGGAAACTCAAACACTCAATGACAAAGCTAAATGAAGGAGCCAAGCGCTGCGAGCAGGCGGAAGGCAGGCAGGCGGAGAACAGCACTGGGGATTAGTACCACCACGCTGCAGAGGCATTTCTGGTCTCTGACTGCCAGGGAACTCTCCGAGCGGCCAGGAGGAGTGAGGAGCCAGGGCTCTGGGCAGAGGGCAGTTAGAGAACCCACAGCCATGCTTGCTCGGTGTGTCTGGCTCATTAGCAGGCTGGGATGCTTGTTACTGCTCACCAGCCCCATTCCTGCAGCCAGCCAGAACCCACATTTAGCTGAATTCCGTGTGGACAAATGGAGACAGGACACTCCCTCTCCCTGTCTCCTGATTACAGGGTGTAACTGTGGCTAAGGTGCTGCGCTCCGCTCTCCTCTCCTGGCTGACCCCAGCTGTGACTGTCTTCATGCCTCAGGTTAGCAGGATGGGGGACAGGCCTGGGGTGGTCATCCCTACGCCATGCCTGCCGAGGAGGCTGAAGCGCAGAATCCACCACCGACCTGGGTGCCGTATATCAGGAGTGTCTCCCGTAGCCTGGAGATCTCCTGCCAGGAAAAGCAAAGGCACCAATAAATATCACATGCCCTGTGCTCTGTATTTACTTATTACCTACAACTTTAATTGCCCCTGTTTATGGGGTACACAGTAATAATCTGACGGGTGTACACACTGTGCAATGCTGACGACAGGAGAGCTAACACTTCCAATGGTAGGAGGCGCGGCGTGCTGGTGTGTTCTTCCTGTACCGATGGATGGATCCGATGGGATTAATGTGTTACAGCTTTCTGGGAGGATCTTGGTGAGTATGCTGTTCATGTTATGATGTAAATAGTTACAAAGACAGGATAAAACCTGGAAGTTGAATTAAGGGATACAATAGGATTTTGTAAGCACTTTGGAGCTACTGCCAACTTTTCTCTCCCAACCTCATGCCACCAACATGACAATCACATAGAAGCAACTCCGTCAACCCAGCCAACACGGTGCTTTTCAACAGCATCACTATGCACATCTCATTGCAGCTGGGATTTCTGTTCCCTGCAAAACAGTGCTGTGGCCATGTGCATGTAAGCTGTGCAGAAATGCCTCTTTAAGGCCTTTGTCCATTTTTAAGATAGATTATTGGTTTTTCTTGACTTACAAGTTGTAGAAACTCCTTACAGAAATTTATACGAAGAGCAAATATATAAACTTTATACATATTCTTATTTCCTTGATTGCATTCTTAGCTTATTAGTTTCTCATTTTGGTTGCTAAACTTTGTGCCAAATAAAATAAGTCAGTTAAAATGATTTGCTGTATAATACTGAGCTTCCAGTTAACACCCTACTGAAGATATAAAAATCTCTTAACATTGGACGTCATGTTGGTCAATCCTATCACAATAATAATAATAACAATAATGAAATACCACAAAAATAAAAATGAATTTAGATAAGAAAGAACAAAAAGAAGAAAGCATTAATAGTCACTTGATTTCCATTCTATTTTCTTCCTCCCTATATTGCAGGCAGCCATGGGATAGTTAACATAATCTGGATAGAGAAAGCCACAAACACAGGCTCTCGGGAAAGACAGTTTTCAAATACGCATAGGTTAGCGGCAGTGTACGATAAAATATCAGTCCGAATGAAAACCCCCTTTATAATTATGAGAAAATGAAAAATACATTTCACAAACCAAGCCATACTGGGAGCACTGGGACCAACATGGGAGCCAGAGTAGCGATCCATCATCTCCAGAACAGGCTCCAGCTCTGCACCGTCCACCTCCTGCCGGCCCTGACAGTCTGTAGATGGCAGACATCACATGTCACTGCAGAGCCTCATGCAGAGGAAAGCGTGCTGCGACTCCCCAGCGGCCCCAAGGGGATGCTCTGGAGCCGAGGGAACTGGTCAGCGGGCGGCTCGGGGTCCATGCCTGGTTCAATGTGATAGGAATGTACCTAACAGGAGGGGCCTTTCCACCCCATTCCCCTTCCCATCAAAAGCTCCCTTGACATTCCCATTTCCATTGTCCTTCCTAAGCTATAGTTGTGCATCCTGCCTGTCCCACACCTCCCTGGGGATGAGGTTGTGGATTCCTAGTCTACTGTAAAGGGAACAGACTGGAACACTGGATTCACATGACTCTCTGTAAACATTTGCCCAGCTGGGGAAGAGGGAGTCTCATCAAGATTTCTATGGAGTCGACATGGGCTGGAAGAAAACAGATGCACATGAGCTGTGAGACAGCAAACTCCAGCAAGGAGGGAAGAGGGGGAGACTGCGATGCCCTCTCCCCTCCCCCTGCCCCTCCTTCCCGCCTGCCCAGATACGCCACACGCAAGCCCTGTCTCCTGAACGGTCAGGATGCTCACATCTGGTCAGGTGATGATGTAAACAGCGTGCGCACAGGGCTCTTCCTCAGCAGCCCACACCCCGCTGGATGACTAGCCGGAGCACATCTCTCTGGCCCCTGCGGTTCTCCATTCACTCTTATGTGCCAGCCCAGCCATCGCCAAGAGCCTGGCAGATGCCAGTGAAATGGAGCCTGTCATGTCCAGGCGGCAGCCCTGTCCCTCACAGTGGCTCCGGTGTGTGTCCACACTGGAGTGGCCTCAGCCATGCCATGCTGAGATAATGTCCCACTGCACTCTCTGTCCAGCGGGCCTGCAGCACTGGCACGGCAGTGGCTAGCGAGGCCAGCAGGGGGCGCTGTGGGGCCTGAGCACCAGCAGGGGGCGTTGTGATGCTCAAGGATCCAGGGTGCCTCCCACGGGTCAGAGTCAGTTCAGAGTCTGGCCTGGTCAGTTGAGAGGAATGCTGTCTAGTGTCTCCTCATGCACTGTCCACCCAGAGTCCTCCTGACCCTCTGGTGCCAGAGGCAGCCATCAAGAGTAGTCCTGAGTTGATCTGACAGGTTCTGGAGCCCTCTGCTGGAGGAGCCCATGGCACCAAGCATGAGCAGCGCGGGTCTCCTGCTGACCCTCGCCCTGGGACCTGTGCACGTTCCCAGGGGAGCTGAGGCCAAGGGGCTCGTGGGGAAGGGGACGGAGGGTGCACAGAAGGGAGTCAGGATCCTTCAGAGACCAGAGTGAGGGCGCTGTGCCCTCCGCAGGCATGGAGGAAATGAAGTGAAGCTCAGGGGGGAGGCCGCAGGAGGGCTGTACTGGGCTGGGCGTGTTGTGCACAGGGCAGCTGGGGTCGGGCCCGCCCAGCTCATCCTCACCCAGCCACCCTGGCTCCACTCGCTAACGCGCAAGGCCTTTTAGGTCCCAAGGACTCTGCACCCTGCACCACCTTTCGAGTTTCCACATCCCTTTTTGTAGGAAATCGTGTTTTGTCTCAGGACTTCCAGTATTGGACCCAGGAGTGTTTCCAGGGTCTCACGAGGATCGCAGTGAACCAACCATACACAGCACAGAGGCGCACGCAGAGAGGTCTTATGCTGGGAATTTATTGGAGATTGGTAGAGAAAGAAACATGAGAACAGGTAACAGGGGAAGAGACCTTCTCTTCTTCATCTTGAAGTTAATGCTGATGCCTTCATTTTTTTGCTCTTCACAATCTGCGGCAGCAGAAGTTGAAGATTCTAGGTCCTTCATAACAGATCCCCAAGAGGAATTCTCTGCTGCCACACGAGCCTGATGTGCAGCGGCACTGCATGGGGGACTGAGCTAGACCTGAAGACACAGCATGCAATAATCAGTGACTGGGTCAGAGCACAAAGAGTTCCCACACAGCTCCGTGTGTCATCATGTGGGCTGTGTTAGCACCAGGACTTTAACCAGCCTCTGTCCACAGCAGTGTGCTCACACCGCAAGTGTGGCTCATGGCAAAGAGGCTCTCAGCTGCCTTCACTCTAGTGTTTCTGATGCTCCTTCGTGGTATGAGAGCACCCTGCTGCTCAGTCCCAAACCTGAACAGCTTCCTCAATACACCAAGTGAATGTCCTCTCCAGAATGAGCTCTATTGACATTTTCTCCATGTTCATTCACATATGAAACCTACAAGGACGGAAGCATTGTGTAGCATAAAGTCTCAGAGGGAACAAAATCCCTTAGATGAATTTATTTCTGAGTCTCCAATTTGTTTGTGGTTGAGAACATGAAGGGCCAGAGAATCTGAATGCAGCGTGTAAGTGATGTAGACTTCCTTTTTAAATATAAATAAGTATTTTTAGTGTGAAAATACTCTTCAAAGGGGTTGCAATCACATGAGCAAGGTAATGAGTGCATTTCTTATCAAGCATCGTTGCCTCTCCTTTGTTTTCCCCCTACCATGCCTTCCCTTCCACCTCCTCAACTATACCACCTAACCCCCATCTAAATTGTGAAGTTCGTTTTTCGACATAGCATCTGGTACATCTCAGTGTTGGAATAGGTCCACCAGTTTCTCTTTTTAAACAATTTGTTTTTTCCCTTCCACTCCCCAGATTATACCGACATCAACTACAGTGAGAACTTTGAGACCCATTCCCGGAGCCGGCCCCATGTTCCTCCTCCCCAGCCTGCAAGCCTCGGCCAGGCTGGCTGGCATCTCTCACCTGCATCTCGGAGAGCAGAACTTCCAGGTCCTGAGAAGCTGATGTCCATTTCCCAATCCTCTGGCTGGCTCTGGTTTGGGACCTCCTCCGCTGGTTCGGGCAGAGTTGCGCTGTGGGCCTGGACGGCCAGCAGGAGAAGGGCAGCGAGGAGAGCCAGCGTCCTCATGGTGCACAGGCTCTGTTGCAGGGCAGCGGGAGCTGGAGCCAGGGAGGAGGAGAGCTGTGTTTATAGGTCTGAGGGGAGGAGGCTCAGGGCTGGGCCCCGCTGCCCTGGCTGCGGCACCTTTCATGAGGAGGGAGACCGGCCCGGCCCTCAGATCCCCCCGACGTCCTTCTGAGCTCCTGCTTCCCACAGCCTCGTGGCCCGTGTTTGTTTGAAGCTGTCTCTGATGATAAGAATACCGCTATGGTCTGCTGTTGACCATCTGCTCAAACGATATTCCCAAAGATACACATGCTTTAAACCACTCACTCAAAAAGAAAGTGTCCCACAAGGCTCTTCCTGTTCAGTATTGTAGCATAGCTAGAAGATCAGAACATTGGGGTGAAATGTTTTCCAAGTGTTTGTAGAATTCAACCAGGAATCTATCATGGCCTGGCCTTTTCTCTGTGAATATTGACCTTCGAATTTTGCTTTTGGTGTAAAAATCATTTCTTTCTCTTTTCCACAGAGGCTTCCCACCTGGTCTTCATTGTAGTGATGTTTCTAATCCTGAGTTTTGAGGGTGGGGAGGGAGATGTGTGAATGTCATGCCTCCTTGTTCTTGCTCCCTGGACTCCATGCAGAAGTAATGGAAGTGAGCAGGCAGCAGCTCCATGCAGTAGTAGAAAAAAAACAAAGGTTTTTCTCCATGGAGAAAGCGGCAAGCCTAGTTTACACGAGTAAAGATGATACTAAGAATCAGAGGATGATAGAGTAACAGACTCCTACCCATTGCTTCTCAAGTGCAGAGCTAGGCTTCTTTTCCATCTAGAAAGGGACCACATGCTTAATGCTAGTGGAGAGCACGCATGTCTTCCAAGCAACGTCTGCTGGGGGGAGTTCTGAGCCTGTGTCCCCGATCCTGGGTGACACGGGACAATGTGGAAACCTCACACTGAGAATGAGACTGGTTACGATGGTAAAAGGAGCTGGGGTCCTGCACCACACTGAAGAAGGAGGCCCTTGGGTCTAGCTGTGTCTCCACCTGGGATGGACGGCTTTTTCCATAAGTGGACCTTACCTGTTAGCCCATGAGCTCAAGTCCCATAGCTTAGCAGGCTCCTGTCCCCTTCCACAGCTTGGCATGCTCCCTTCCTAGGCATCACCAGGTCCATGAAGCAAAGGCCGTAAATAATCAGCCTCCAGGCCCCGTTTGCCTTGAGAGGGCATGTCTCTGGGACAGCAGCCACCCTAGAAGGCAGCAAGTGCCCCTTAGAGTGCCCTTCACGTCTGGGCAGCTGCAGGACCCTTATCTACTCTTTGGACAGCAGCCATCAATCCTGCCCTCTATCCTGAGACCCTGGCCCACACCTCCACACCGGGGTCTCCTCCTCCTAGCCCCTTCCAGCCCCTCCTAAGCCTCAGTAGATTATATAGGTCACCTCAGACCATAGCCGACGCTTCTTCTCACTGTGAGAAGGGGTCTTGCCAGTCCCTTTGCTGGCAATAAACTTTTCTTTGTTCTTTGTACCTGGATGTCGGTGTGTTTTTCTGGCAAAGTCTAGTAATCTAGCATTACCATTGATCTAGTCTTTTCTCTAACCTCTCCCTCTGTGGTGTGAGTGGACTGTCCATGCCAGAGCTGCTTCAATAGGAAGTTAGGGATGACGTGATGATCCCGAGCTCGCCAAGGAGATGAGAGGGCAGCAAAACAGCAACTGGGGGACAGTCTGGGAGAAGGGTGCCAGCTTTGGAAACAGGAAGTGACGGGGATCAAGAGGCGACCGAGGAAAGCAGAAAGACTGAACCCAGACTGCTTTCCTCATCAGAAGTGCTGAGAAGGGGCCTAGGCAGGACCGTAAGGACTCAACCTATCTTCTCGGCCGGCTATCCACTACGCATTGATAGTCAGCCGACTTCCATCCCATTTTCTTCCTCCCTACATTGCAGGCAGCCATGGGCAAGTTCACATAATCACTGGTCTGGGTACAGAAAGCCACACACAGAGGTCTGCCCAGGACACAGAGGCTCTCAGGAAAGACAGTTTTCAAATACGCATAGGTTAGCGGCAGTGTACGATAAAATGTCAATCTGAATGAAAACCCCCTGTATAACTATGAGATAATGAAAAATGCATTTCACAAACCAAGCCATACTGGGAGCGCTGGGACCAACATGGGAGATGGAGCAGCGCTCCGTCATCTCCAGAACAGGCTCCAGCTCTGCACCGTCCACCTCCTGCCGGCCCTGACAGTCTGTAGATGGCAGACATCACATGTCACTGCAGAGCCTC